ATTGTTTTCCAAATATAAAGATCTATTAAATCTATTATTTAGTAATTATGTTATAAACGGTTTAATATAAATAATTTTGGTCGGCCTAATTTCGTCTCAATAAAATATGCATTTTCGTCGACTGCTTCAATCAATTTATCTAGAATTATTTACTTTGTTATATAACCATCTTCATTTAATATACAATAATAGTAATATTTCATTGGATTTTCATTAGTTGGTCTTATTATTATGGCTGATTCTTCAGAAATGTTGTACCAATATAGATATATTTATAATGGATATTAGAATGTATTTATTTTATGGATTATAGTAACAAAAAAATAAATTATAAAATTAATTTTTTACTTTTCATTTTTGTTTTTTATTTAGTTTATTGTTTTAAATATTTTGTTCTTTCTTTTTTCTATGTTTTATTTTATGGAATTTATTTGTTTTTTTATATAATTTATTATTAAAAAATAATTTTAAAAAATATTAATTTATTATTATTATAATCTAATTTTTTATTTTATTATAATATCGATTGTAATTTTTAATATTATATTAATATATAAGGTTTTTAAAATAATAATATAAAATTAAAATCTATATTAAATTTTAATTTTTAATAAAAACTAATAATATATTTCTTAATATTAATTTTATATGATAGTAATTTATATAATTATTGAGCATATTTTAATATAATGAAAAAAAAAAATTAACATAAATTATTAATTATAATCTTCTAAATAAATTAATTTGATTTATAAAAAATACAATAAAATATATTAAATTTTTTTTTATTTATATTATTTCAAACCTTATGTATTAATTAAAAACTTACAATTAATTATAAAATATTAATAAGATTAATACTAATTTTATTTAATAATTTTTTGTATAATATAATTTAAAATACATTTAATAAAAAAATTATAATATAAATATTTTTTTTATCAGAAATAAAAAATTTCAAAATTTTTATTAATATAGAAATAAATCTTTTATAACTTTTTTTTTTTTTCTTATTTATATTAATATATTTTTATTTTAATTTAGTCTATAAATAGGAAAATATTATAGACACAAAAAGCTTTAAAATTTTTTATAAAAGAAATATATTTAGTTTCGAATATTATTTTGGATTTTTTGTTCTAAGTAAATTAAAAAGAATAATTATAAATTAGTCAATAAAATTGGAATTTAATAAAAATAATAAATTGCTTAAATTTGTTTATTGAAATAATTATGTATTATTAGATTATCTAAGTTATATCTACAAAAAAATTAAGAAAATAAATAAGAAGATAAAGTCTTGGAAATAATATTATAGATTTTAAATATGAAGTAAATAATTTTAAATTTTATAAATAATATATTATTTTTATATATGATTATAATTTTAATATGACAAATAAATTAAAATTAAATAAGAGAAAAATAATATATTTAAATTATAAAAAAAATATAAAATAATAAAATAAAATTATAAAAAAAGTAGAAAAATTAATTATATATTTATTATAGAATATATTATGATAAATATAAAATAAAAATTATTTTTAATAAATAAATAAATATAATATGTATTATATTAATATTATTTAGATAAAAAAAATATTTTATTTATATAAAATAAAAAGTTATAATATTTATAATAATTAATAATTATTTATATACCATTTTATATATACATATTATATAGTATAAATTATTTATATAGAAAATATTTCCTTAATAAATATATAATTTATAATAAAATCTGATTATAAGGATTTTATATATAATTTTCTAAAAAAACAAATACTTAGTCTTAAAAAATTTACTTTTTCTTATTTTTCAGGTTAAATATTAGTTAATAATATATAAAAGTTTATTTTAAATATTATTTCATTTGCCAATTAAACTAAATAAATATAAAACAAATATTTACATATAAATTAAATCTGGTACTAAAACTAATTCTTAGTTGATAAAATATGAAAATTTTCTTCTCTGGAAGTTTATAAAAAATACAAGAAGAAATTAAAGAAATATAATAAATAATTTAACTTATTTTACATTTATTAAAAAAAAAATCTAAATAATATAAATTTTACTCAAAATTAAAAAATTATAAAAAATACATTTTTTGAATTGATTGTACATTATTAACTAAAAATCAGCTTAACCCTATTGGTTTATATTTAAATTTTATGATCATTTAACTATGTTAAGTTTTTCTGTTAATAAAAAAAGGTTTTTATTTAGCATTCTTTTAACATTAGTGAGTCGTTTAATTGATTAAAAAGCCTTCTGGACATTATCTAAGGCAATAGTTTAATTCATATAAGTAAACATTATATATAATATTATTCATTTTTTAAAAAAGGTTAAATATAAAGAATAATAAATTTTTAATTTAAATTTGTTTAAAAAAGGCTATTAATTATTTTCTAAAAAAATATAACAAGAAATATCGTGAAAAATGTATTTTTATATTCTTAAAAAACACGAAAAAGCTTACACATGACTTTATTTTAATCAAAGATTATTTTTTTTAATAAAAAAACTATTTTTATAAACATGAAAATAATTCAATATCGTTTTTTAGCGCTAATAACAAAAGTTATTTTGATTAAAAACGTAATTTGAATATACGATGCATTATTTATATGAAATGTCATATAAAAGAAAGTCCTAAAAAACTCAAAAAGTAAAAAAGACAGTTTAATAATTATTTATTATACTATAAAATATCTAAAAGGTTTAGTGGTAATTCAGAGAAAAATAATGCAATTTAAATTATATATTGAGTTTTTTTTTAATTGTATTAATTAATGTTGTTTTTATTCTAATTCGAAACTTATAATCACTTAATAATATGAAGTTCTTTTATTTGTTATGCTTATGTATAAATTTGATCTTGATTTAAAATTAGAGGAATATGTTAAAGTGTTCGTCTGATTTAAATAATAATAAAGAGTAATTTTTTTAATATTACCTGATTTTTATATCGGATAAAAATATATGGAAGCTTTTACTGATTTATTAAAAATTTATTAAATAAAACTGAATATGTATACTTTTTGTTCAAATATTTTTATATATCCTATTTCTATACATTGTTTTATTTTTTAATAGAATATAGATTTAATAATCTCATTTAATTTTAAATAAAAGCATATAAATTTATATCTGATGGATATATTTTACTATTATTATATAAATTATTAATTATTTAAAAAGAAATTTAAAAATAATTTATAGTTTATTAAATAAATAAATTTAAAAATATATTAAATAAAATTATTTTAAAAATTAAATTCTTTATGTGAATAATTATTTTAAAAAAATTTTAAAAATTTAATAAAATTTAAATAAAGTATTTTTTATTTTTTTTAATAATTATATAAAATAATTAAACTTTGTTAATAAAATACTTTTAATATTACACAATTTATAAATATTTATAAAGTAAAAAATAAAAATATTATATTTTAATTAATATAAATTTTTAATATTTTAAATATAAAGTATATTATATATATATATATATATATATATATATATATATATATATATATATTATATATTTATAAATTTCAATTTTTTTTTTATTTATATTTGTTTTTATAATTTTATATTTTTATTTTAAAATATTTAATAATATTTAAATTTGATTATTTTTTAAAATATTTATTTTTACATTAATATATTTATATTTATAATTATTTTTATTTTAAATTTATTTAATAAATATTTTTTTTTATTTTTTTTTACATTATTTTATATAATATTTTTTAAAAAATTTATTATTTTATATATAATTATTTAAATTATTAATAACATTTTCTTTACATATTTTATTTTTATAAATTTTTAATTTATTTATTTTTTAATTTTTTTATATAAACCATATTTTTTTTTCAAATTTTTTTAAATTCTTAATAATTATTACTATAATTGTAAAATTACTATAAAAATTTAGATGTATATTTTTTTTTTGAATTAAACAATATTATTGAATCTTATTTCTAATAAAAAACAAAAACTATATATAGAAGCTTTATATATAATAATATTAGGACAAAAAGTACACATATATTTTTATTTAATATATTTTTATATAATCAGTAAAACCTCCCAAAAAAATGTTTCTCCAATATAAAAATTAGCTTATATAAAAATTTGGACTCTTATTTATTATGCAAATCATACGAACACTTAATCATGTTTCTCTATTTTTAAAGCAAGATTAAATTCATATATAAACATCATAATAAAAGAACCTCACCTTATTGAGAGATTTTAAGTTTTGAATTAAAATTAAAAAACAATAATTAATACAATTAAAAATAATACAACCTAAAATAATTTTTGTTTTATATGTAAAAAAATAACAGTTAGTATATTTTATTTTTTCTCCAAATTACAACTAAACCTTCTAATTATTTTATTTTGTATTATAATGAGTTATTATTACATCTTCATACTTATTCTTTGAGTTGTTTGGGACTTTCTTTTGTAAGATATCTGAAATGTGTCAATTATATGAGATTTCATATAAATAATGCAAAGTATATTCAAATTATGTTTGTATTCAATGTAATTTTTATTATTGGTACTATAAAACAATAATGGATTATTTACATATTTATAAAAATTTAGTTTTTTTCTTATTAAAAAAATAATATTTGAATAAAATAAAGTCGTGAGAGCTTTTTCGTGTTTTTTAATTCTGTTTCACAAAATTTCTTGTTTTATTTTTTTAGAAAATAATTAATAGGCTTTATTAACAAATTTAAATTAAAAATTTATTGTTCTTTAAATTTTACCTTTTTTAAGAAAAATTAATAATCTTATATATAATGTTTACTTATATGAATTAAACTCCTTGCCTCAGATAATGTCGAGAAGGCTTTTTAATCAATCAAATAACTCCTTAATTTTAAGAGAATACTTAATAAAAACCTTTTTTGATTAACATAAAGTAAGGAAAAACTTAATATAGTCAACTAACAATAAAATTTTAATATAAACCATCAGAATTAAGCTGATTTTTAGTTAATAATGTGTAATAAATTTAAAAAAAGAATTTTTATATTTTTTTTTTTAATTTTGAGTAAATTTAAATTATTTAGATCTTTTTGTTTTATTAACATATGAACCTGAAAAATACGAAATTGTAAATTTTTTAATATATATTTTTTTCTTTTAGAAAATTATATATAAAATCTTTATTATCAAATTTTATTATGAATTTATTAAGAAAACATTTTCTATTTCAAAAATTTATACTATATAGTTTATACTTTAATATTGGTATATAAATATTTTATAAATATAATATTTTTATAAATAGTAATTAGTACTTTTTTGATATATATAAATTAAATAACTTTTTTATATGTAATAATAATATATTTATATTTTTAAAAAAAATTAATTTATATTTATTTAAAAATATTATTGTATAATATTTTTAATTAAATGTATTTTTTATAATATATATTTTAAATTTTCTTTTTTTATTATATTTTATTAAAATTTTACATATTATTTTAATTTTTTATAAATGTTTATCTTTCTAATTAAATTTTAATAATTATTTTTATATTGAACTAATACTTTTTATAAAAATAATTATAAGTAAATACATTTCCTATTTTCATATTTAAAATTTATCCTTATAATTTAATTTCTAAGCCCTTGTCTTCTTAGTTATTTTCTTAATCTCCTTTTAGATATAACTTAGATAATTCAATAATACTTCATTTTTCTAATAAATAAATTTAATTTTTTTTATTTAATATCAATTATTTATGGTTCATATTTAATTATTCTTCATAATTTGCTAAAAAAAAAAAAATAATATTACCTAATTAAATTTATTTCATAATAATTTTAAGGCTTTTTTGAATTAATTGTATATACTAAATTAAAATAAAATAAATTATATAATAATTTAATATTATAAAAAAAAAATGAAATAAATAAATTATTTTAATATTTATATAAATTATGGTATTTTTAATTTTAAGATAAATAAATAAATATATATATATATATATATATATATATATTATTATTTTTATATTATATAGTAATTATTTTATATATTATTATAATTATTAATATTATATTATTTAATCTATTTTATTAATAGTATATAAATTTTAAAATAATAATAATCAAATAAATAATATTTAATATATTATACTTTATTTTTATTATATTAATTAATATATTTATTGGTTAAAAT